GTAACGAAATTTAGTCTCAATATTTAGAGCCAAAGGCCTCACCAGTCTTTCAAGAAGGTGCAACATGATTTAAGTGTTCGATGGCATCACTATTTCATGATTATTCACTTCGAAACACTCTTAAACATTTTTTTCATTTATCCTTCTTTATTGGCGTAGATACCGCTTATAGCCGAGTTTACAACACCTTGCCAGTCGTTCTTTTCTGTTCTGCACCATTCTGTTGGGCACCATTTTGTGATTTCAGGTGTAGCTAGGTCCTTCCCCACCTCGTATTTATAATGGGTAGGAGGTCTTCCTTTGCTTCCCCCGGAGGGTACTGCATCGAATACTCCCTGAGCTGGTGACATCCATTCGGACGACATGATTTAGCCAGCACAGGCGATGTCTTTTAATTCGCTGAACTATATCATTGTCGTCATTTCACTCGTACAGCTCACAATTCCATCGAATGCGATATTCGCCGTTGCCCCTTGGCAAGGGACCATATATCTAGCGTAGAACTCTACCCTCGAAAACTCGTAGCGTCAACTCATCAGATTATGTCATCGCCAATACCTCTGCACCATGACAGGGATGATGAGTGTCTTGTAGAATTTGGTCTCTGTTCTTCGAGGGATGACTTTACTTCTCAATTGCCTACTTAAAGCAGCACCTGTTGGTAACCCTTGGTAAATTTTTCCTTTACTGTTACTAAACTCTTAGATTTTTTAAATGTGTAGCACTTTACACTTTTTAAATAACTTACTACTTTTTAAATAAAAATGCCACCTTCATCGTGACCACAAATCTTCTCAAACAGGTGACCAAAACTACAATTTGTTAAAAAGAAATTGATAAGTAGAAAGATCCAATGGGCCAGTTTTATAACTTTCGAGCTTCTCTTTACCAAAATAAATTGTCGACTTTATTACATACATAGGCATACATATCTGTAAATATGTACAAATTCTCGTTTATTTTAGAATACAATATACAGGCGGCTTGTCTTTGGCAGTTTCCGGCTCGTTTACTTTAATTAATTTACTACTAATTTAGGGTTTATTGACTGGAAAATATTCGGCCACTTTCAATGAAGAATTAATACTAATGGTGAAATAGTTAGAGGTGCAAACGAGACAATCTAAACAGTATTTGTCAAATCACATTCTGTCTGAATAGCTTGAAATAACTCAATAAATAAGTACAGATTGTAAAACTTACAAAAAAAAAAATAAATAAATAAACAAGATGAGATGGTTCGGAAAACTCTAACATTCTTATATATAAAAATGAATCGCAAAATGTGTTGCTAAGCGCGTAATTCAACAACGCCTGGAAAAATTTTTCTTCTAAATGTTCGTTGAGGTTCAAAGATGGTTTTTACGGCAAGAAAAATTCGAATAATTGTCGGAAAACCGCTAAAAACAGCCCTTTTCTTTTTCCCATGCAAACGAATGAATGTTTGTTTGTTAGTAACGTAAATGCTCGAGAACGGCTGAACCAATCTTAATGAAATTTTCAGAGGTTGTTCGCTGTGGATTGGGGAAGTTTTAGAAATAAAATAAACTGTATGCTTTTCGTGAGGAGTAACTTTTTCATAATTATTTTTTTTTTGTTTATTTGCTTTGGTTTTCACATAGTTGAATCGTTCAAATTTGTCGTTTGCTTTCTTTATTCCGGCTATTCAAAAAAATATATATTGTCACAGCACGACTTTTCAAACAACAGTTACGATGTTTTATGGACTTCATCTTGAAGCAAAGTATATGCTGTGCTGTTAGACGCTAGATGTACTCTGTTGAGTGGCAAAAGAGAGGTTTGCCACACTCACACATTCTTCTTTGGATGGCGGTTACACCAAATCAAATTGATGAAATCATTTCTGCGGAAATTCCTGACGCAGAGAAAGATCCCTTAATATACGAAGTGATTAAAAGAAATATGGTTCATTGACCTTGCGGACACCACAATCCCACTTCAGTTTGTATGTCTGAAAATAAATGCACGAAACCCTATCCTCACAAACTAGAAGTGACCACCAGACGACAATGGCAGAACATTCAGCATTCAATTGAGAAGAGTGAATATCGAAGTTGACAACTCATGGATCGTAATATATTCAGCATTATTATCTAATTTGCAGTCAAAACTCATATTAATGTTGAGTATTGCAGTTTGGTGGAATCGATAAAATACCTTTGTAAGTGCGTAACCAAAGGAAGCAACATGGCGGTTATTGGTCTTGAACGATACGGTCGATACGTGGACTGCAATAAAGCGCTTTGGAGGATATTTACTTTTGCAATTCGTGAACATTTTTCGACTGTTGTGCGTCTCGCAGTTAATTTAGTGAATGGCTAAAGAGTGTACTTCAACTCAGAGAATACAGTACAGCCAGTTGAAACACCGCCAGCAACAAAATTAACATTTACGAGTTTCTGGTCAACTTTCGTCAGCGATCCGTTTGCGAGAACATTGCTCTATTCGGAAATACCTTGATATATGTATCGTCGAAGAAATAGTTGCGCAAACAGCAAGGTCAACCAGTAGATGGACATCCAGGTGTGTTATCAACTAATGCAATAGGATGAATTTACACAATCCACCCGAAAAACGACGATTTATATGTACCTTCGATCGACACGATGAATGGTACGCTGTGTGCAAGTTTTGGAGAAGTAAGCCAGCAATGGTGGATGGAGTCATGTGTAGAAGTTCACGCAAGTGAGGAAAGTTCTCTGATCGCCATTCACTTGGGAGTGGCCAGAAACGATTCCTTTACATATGACTCAAGCAGCTCACGACTTCCGGTCTTTGACCAAGTATCCTCTTGGTAGCCTAAGAATATCCGTTTGAAGGCGAGCTAAAGTGAGAAGGCGAAATATCCCCTACGTAGGGTTGTGCACTGGGTTTGGGACCCGCCATGTAAAAAAACACCCCCAATGAAAAATTCACAACAGCCTCGGATGAGAGACCCCCCTTTTGATGACGACCATGGCAAACGAATTTAGGATTATGATTTGAGGGCATGCACCTGGAATGTCCGGTCCCTTAATTGGGAAGGTGCCGCTACCCAGCTGGTTGATGTCCTCGTGAAAATAAAAGCTGACATCACCGCCGTCCAAGAAATGCGATGGACGGGACAAGGACAAAGACGACTATGTCCTTGTGGCATTTACTACAGTGGCCATATAAAGGAGCGCAAGTTTGGTGTGTGATCGATCGTCTTGACAATGAAGACGACGCCGTGAATTATCCAGCGGAATTTTGAAATTCTTTGGAGAGGCTTGCCACCACATCATTTGCGTCTCAAAGTTGGAGCTGTCGTTATTATGTTTCGCAATCTGCATGCGCCGAAACTGTGTTATGGAACCCGACTGATTGTGACGCACCTATCGAATACAAGAGGCAGAATGCTTGACCCTACAAATTCCTTCGATTTCTATCGTTTTGCCATTTCAGTTCAAACGTATTCCGTTTCCAGTGAAAATTACATTTGAGATGACAATCAAAAGGACACAAGAATAGTCCTATAATGTGAGGCATAAATTTGGAAATGCTATGTTTTTCACACGACCAGATATACGTGGCGTGCTCACGAGTTGGAAAACCATCTTTTCTGTACACCGGCACAGAAACCAAAAAATGTTATTTATCAAGCAACATTACATTGAAAAAAAAATAATGAAATGATAAATTTAACTTTATTTTCATTTCAAAACACATAATTTCACGCAGGGCAACGGTTGCGGGGTCAGCTAGTTAAATAAATAAATATCTATATATTTCTGGATATATTGAATGAGAACAGGGAAGCACTAAATTGGCTCGAGAGACTGATACCCTTGTTAAACGTGGGCTAAATTACAAATGAAATTCGCTCATTTTCACCATGACAAATACAGTGTTTTCCAATAAGTGTGATATGATTTCTTTTGAAATTTCTGTGATTTTTATTTAATAGAAGGTACAATCAATACATTTAAGTTCTCAATACTATATAACTAACTTCTTCTTTTGCAGAAATGAATCCGATGAACCCAATTATTGACACGTAGAAGTCATATAATCCCCAATCGAAAACCTGATATGTATATATAATATTCAAGGGCAAATATCACATCCAGTATATATGAGAGGAAGATGTCCACCAATTTTGTCCATTTTGAAAAGGAGTTATAGCATGTGTCATACGTAGTAAGCTTTACATTGTTTAAATTGTTATTAAATAAAGAAGCTTGCCTAAAAGTAGATACAGTGTAATCCATTTATAATGGACTCGCTTAAGATGGAAACTCTGTTATTATGTACCTCTTTGTCAAGTCCCAGTTCAAACATATGTAAAAAACTCGGTTAAAATAGACTCGGTTATAATGGACTCCGGTAATAATAGACAATATAATCGGATTTTGTCCATTATAACCGAAGCTTTCAAAATCAAATTTCAAAACAAAATTGGCAATCAGTTGGCAATAAACAAAATTTTGTACTTCCCCGAATTCGATCACGAGACACAATCACTGTCTGCAGCAGAAAATGCTAATTTTTTCTTGGAAATAAGTCAAAGAAGGCAAACAACTTCTGCGGTGGGCTGAAAGTGACGTTCGTTGGCTTTTCATTGAGAGTTATTGATTTTTAGAAAAATGTCGGGAAAAAATAAAAAGCGAGCATTTACAACCTAAAAAAACAGACTGTTTCAAACATATGGATTAATCGGGAAGAAATTAAAAATTATTGGAAAGTCAACGATAAGAGAAAAAAAATAAGATTTGCGACAGCTTTCAGAAGCAAAGGGCTAATAATTTTCCAGTAAGTGGTCCAATGCTAATGATGAAAGCCAATGAATTCGGAGAAGCTGTCGGTGCTAATTTTAAATGCAGTTCCGGATGGCTAGACAGATTTAAAAAGAGGCATAATATTTGCTCGGCAAAATTTGTGGTGAATCGGCTTCTGTGGACCAAAGTGTTACTAATGACTGGCTATAACAAACCAGGCCTACAATAAGTAACAATTATTCCATGGACAACATTTTTAACGCGGACGAAACGGGAATTTTCTATAAGATGCTGCCTGACAAAACACATAAGATCAAAGGTGAAACATGCAGTGGTGGAAAAATGTCTAAAGAAAGAATAACTGCCATGATTTGTGCCAATGCATCGGGCACGGTAACACAGAAATTATTGGTTATTGGTAAGTTTTAAATACAATTTAATACAATCCGCTGTTTCTGAATGTCTGCTTTCAGGAAAATATAACAATCCTAGATGCTTTAAAAACGTTAAAACGTTGCCGGTAGATTATTGTGCTAACAACAAATCCTGGATGACTTCTCAGACCTTTACTGACTATTTAAAGAAATGGGATTGTGAACTTATAAAAGCCAAAACTAAAATTTTGCTATTAGTAAATAATTGCCCTGCTCATCCTCAAGTTCATCTTCACAAATTAAACTACATTTTCTTCCGCCTAATACTACATCGGTTCTTCAGCCTACGGATCAAGGCGTCATTAATAGCTTGAAACAATCTTATAGAAAGCAGCTTCTGATGAAAATTATGGACCTTCCTGAAGAAGAAAACCCGACAAAAGCTATGAGTCTTTTAGATGCTGTCAATATGTTAAGTGTTACACGGGAAAGTGTCTCTAAGCAAACCATAAGAAACTGTTTTCGACATGCTGGTCTGGTAAAAGATATTCCTGATGGATTAATTTTCGACACGGAGGACGATGAACCTTTAAGCAAAATTATCGAAATTAATAACGTAGTGGTTTTAAGCAAGTTTGATGAATATTCAAGGATTGACGAGAATATTATAGCCACAGCAAAACAATCAGACAATGACTTAATTCAAGACTTTCTGCATGAGCTGCTTGAAGAAGACTCCGGTGATGAAGATTTAGCACAGACCGAAACTATAATAAAACAAATAAGGAAGGGCTAAGTTCGGGTGTCACCGAACATTTTATACTCTCGCATGATAAAGTGATAATCGAGATTTCAGGCGTGGTTGTGAACCGCTGTCTCTTATACACATCTAGATGTGTATAAGAGACAGGTATATGGAAATGTCTAAAAGAAACGACTCTGTGCAGTCGGTTTGGTTGACATACCTACAGTAGTTTTCGAGATATGTACAAAAAAGTTAGTAGGGGCCGGGGCCACGCCCACTTTTCCAAAAAAATTACGTCCAAATATGCCCCTCCCTAGTGCCTGTCTCTTATACACATCTAGATGTGTATAAGAGACAGCTTGTCACCCTGATCACTTTGGTATATATAACCCTATATCTGACTCTTTTAGTTTTAGGACTTACAAACAACCGTTATGTGAACAAAACTATAATACTCTCTTTAGCAACTTTGTTGCGAGAGTATAAAAATAGAAGACGCTATGAATTATTCTAGAAAACTGAAGCTATATTATCAACTAAAAGAGAATAGTTCAGATGCAATCAATTTGAAAATCATTGACTTTTTTCAAAAGACTTAATTAAACATATTATTTTCTTAATTTTGTATTTTTATTCATAAACTTTATTGCTTTAATAAAAAAACACATTTAATTTAATTTTTGAGTTAAACATTTTATATTCTGATTAGATGGACACTCGGTTATAATGGACAATTTGACATGGTCCCGTGGAGGCCATTATAACCGGATTACACTGTAGTTCCGCGCCCATAGTGCAATATGTATTACCTATATTTAGTATGTTATATCATCTTTATGAAATGTCACGCTTGTTATTATTTGAGTAAAATAATATAATATAAATCAGATATCCACAAACAAAATAAAGGTCATATTCATAAGATCGTAAGCAATCATTTTACGAAGTGAATAGACCATTGTGCCATGTTTGGTTTTTAAGTCCATTCAAATAATAACGTTAAGCGTGAAAATGATGCGGGCCAATCCAATTATTACACCAGGTTTATCAATATGTCACACGAAATAAATTCAGGGTCAATCCCATGAGCATACCAATTATATTAGGATGTCGTCCCATATTAGGCCCACTATTATGTAACTTCGTGTATATGTATGACGAGGTGCGAAGAAGACAGCAACAGCAATGTACTATACGTGGAACTAATAGCAAATGCTGACGATCCATAGCATTGTAGCAGTGGCTAAACAATTAGTAGACCTATGAAATAAATACCATTAGACGTCCAGAGAGATGGACTCGACTAATTATATCAGCTATCAGTGCCTACCGGCAAAGACAGAGGAGAGGAACAAGAGCACTAAAATATGGTAACAGCGATGGTATTTCTCATCCAAAGGGCGCTGGACCAACAGACTTATATCAGGCATGCAATCGTGGATAGCAACCTGGGTTTTCATCTGACTCAACTTCTTAATGGGCATGGGTGCTTTAGAAGCTACCTTTACAGATTCCACAATGATATTAGTCCCAACTGTCCAGTGTGTGCAGAGTGTATAGAAAACTCTGAACATGTATAATTTTACTGTCCTTGCTTTTCAAAGCTCTTAAAGTTGAGGCCCCTGGCTCCGAAGTTCGGCAGTTAAATGGCAAACCTTACTGAAGAAAAATGTCAATAACGGTCGAGTTTTGTAGCATGCCTATTAAAAAACCCTTACAAAAGAAAACTAAAAGCCACACTTGGTGGTAGTTTTACGGTTGATAATTTAACGACACTCATGTGTCAGTCGATTGAGAAATGGAAAGCTGTTAGAGATTCGGCGTCCATCTGTACACACAATAGAGGGCTCTCAAATGTCCTGTCTCTCCCACGACGTAATACTTAACTGGTGATTCGGTGAGAGAATCTTGAGTTGGGAATAGGTGAGACTTAGCAGATTAAAGTTCTGAATTCCGGCTTTCGATTCTTCCCCCTACTATAAAAAAGAATTTTAATGCGAAAATCCACCACGAAAACGTGTTTTATATTTCGTCTTATGTCCATTTCTGCCAATTTCGTTACAATTTAAATAAAGCTGAAGCGGATGGTTACTGGTCCTTTCCTAAGTACGTGCTTCTCTACAGAAAAACTAATATGAAGGAAATAATTGCCGCAAAAACGGCCAGCTTTGCCCAATAGAAGAGAAATTGTGTTTCAACATTACAATACCAGAAGCTCCGTGACCTTGGTTAACATGATCTTATATATTTACCTTATGCTTTGGACCAGGCATCAAGTGATTCCCAAATATCAATTTCACAAATATTATAGAAGAAAGTATACCAGATTTCTCAGTATGAGCAATGTCTTTACAAGCGTATTCTTATTTGAATAAACCTTTACATATTTTCAATAAGTTTCCTTGGCAGTAAATGAAAAGCGCAATTGACCACTAGCACTTGGTCATATATTTTAAGAAAAGTGGGAGCGTCCCCGCTTTCCAAAACATTCATTACATAAAGCTCACAAACTACTCAAGCTATAAAAGTTAGACTTAGTACGCATATTTACCTACCTATTTGGTGCAAAGCTTGGTAAATAACTCTTTTTACTAATTTTTTACTTTGCAGCTGAATGCGTATTACCTCAGAAATATTGTGCTAAATTTCCAAATCGGTAGGAGCAAAGTGGACTAAGTTTTGGCTATTGTTCACCATAGCTCACGTTGTCAATGTAGGTCACCCTCATAACTTAAAAACTTCTTTATTGTCACTACACTATTTCTATATGATATGGCAAACAAGTGTGTAAGTAAATATGAGATCTGTAATATGAGTCAACAATTAACTGAAATATCATCTATTCACATAGATACCCAGAACTATTTTTCGCTGGTTAAGTTTATACAAAATGCGAGTCTACCTGCCAGTTCCTCTTCTTATTTTGAATATTTTAGAAAACTTACTTTGCCTCTCAAACTCTTTCAGGCTTCACGTAAAAAACGAATTAAACACTTTCAAAATAAACACTGCACTTTTTAATTATTACTTTAAATTTTTTTCTCACATGAATTATATGACCACACATACATATTTGTACAAACATAGGAGTGTACACGCAAGCGTAAGTTCATAGACGACTCATAAGTCTCCATTAAGCGGACAGTCTGGCGAGTGTCCCTTTCGAATTATAAATAACAACAACAATGAGTAATATGCAAATTTGTAATTGTTTACCTACGTTTCGCAGCAGCTTTAATTAGTAATATTAACGAGGGTGACAGCACCTGGCGGCCTCAACAACAACACCCTTCCGACGACTCGCCGTCTCACTCTCGCACCGGCAACTCATTAACACGCACAAGTCAAATTTCAGTAATTTCGTGCTAATTGCAGGCAGCAGTATCTATTCACGAATTTATGCTTACTCACCCACTTTGACCCAGACTTAGTGGCAGCGCGGTGGCGGTGCTTAATTAAAATATATGTTCGCTTGTCCTTGATCCCAAAACGCGACTAACAGCCGAGACTCGTCCAGACACACACGTCGGTACATAAGGACATAAATTCATAATCAAATGTGGAAATATTGCCCAAGTCAAATGTACATTACTTTTAAATGCAAGCCACTGCGACACACTCGGCATATGAATATTCCTTCGTTTTATGCACGATACTCAACGGAAGGAGTTGGATAAACTGCGGGAGGCATGAGACCCATGAAATTGTGGATAATAACTTTGCAACTTCTCAGCGTATTGGGGGCTTATTAGAAGAGTGCGTACAAGTAAACTTATTGGACACGGTGACGTAGAAATCATCTCTGCCTCGAATTTGCTGCGTAAAACCACAGCCGTAATAAAAACAAAGCAATTACACTCGGTAACAGCCAATATTCGCACACAAACAGCAATAAATTATACAATTTAAATTACAGCTGTATAAATTTGAAGCAACAACAAAGTTGAGAACACGCCCATCGTTGAGACTTGGAAAGCAGCAGCGAACTCACTCAGCGAGAACAATAAAAAATTATGTATTTCAGAAGCGAGTAATAAAAGGAAAATTTCGTGATAAACAAGAGGCTGCCAAGCGTTTTGCCTTAGAAAGTCAGGCAGAGCAAATGTGTTAACCATCTACGGAGGAGTGGGAGGCCGGCCTTGAAGTAAATGCTCTACGAAACCTGCCACCAAACCAAAAATATGCTGCCGAGTTATAGCAAAAGTGCCGGATTTATTAAAACATAAAGCGATTATTTAAATTTCTGATGATTTGCGATGAGAGCATAAGCCAGCGATATTTGAAATAAATCCACTTTTTAAGGGTGGGAAAATTGAACAATTATCGAGGCGGTTTTTAAATAACCAAAAGGAATCTTAAAATGGTGCATGTCGACTAGCTTCATATTATTGATGAATATGCGTGGAAGCTATTTATCTGAGCCATAAACAAGTCAAAATGTTTGGATGTAACATGGTAAACTTAATATACCCTGCTTAGCGAGTGAAAAGTATGATGCTTCTTTTGAATTTTCGCTGGGAACTCAAAAGTTCTGTAGAGGATATATACATAATGCAAGAATCAAAATCAGGGAAATACCTTAAGGTGCAAAACCAATCATAAAGAATAAAGTCAACCGGATGTTCGAAAAAACTGATATAGTTATGTAGGGGTTGGACCACGGTTTCACTCAAATTTATCTATTTCAAGCACAACGATACACTGTTATAAGTAAGCGTGGTTTTCATCAGGATAATTCAAATATTGGCCGCTATATGCGGTAAAAGTCACCCGAAAGTTCGAAAATCTTTATATTAAGTATATGGGGGATAAGGGAAGTATTGGTCCAATTTAACACGTTTTTTAACATACAGACATGCCATTATAACAGAAGGATTATCCCTTAATTTCAGTTATAAATATCACACATTGACCGACATTTTCGATCAAAAGTCAACTATAGGTACAAAGTGGCACACACTGTAGGCATTATTCGTGCAAAGTTTGATCCCGTTATATTAATGCCTTCTTGATTTGTGTACTGGAAACTGAACGAATAAAGTGGAACGTAAAATTGTGCTGTATAGAAAAAAGACGTGATGCTGTTCGATTTCGTCTATTTTCACCATGTGACATAAGGATTTAAGAAGAATCCCACGTACTAAATTTGGGTCGGGTCCCGAGATATGGGATTTCACCAACAAAGTGGGTGGTGCCACGCCCATCGTGCAATTTCAGCTCTTATAAAGCTCTCGCCATTTTTATAGTAATTTTTAACAGTACCCTTATATGGGGTGTGAGAGGGGCTATTCTCCGATTTCATCCATTTTCACATTGTCGGTAGAAGTTGTTATAAGATTTGTACTTAGCGAATTTGGTTGTTGTAGCTTAAGTGGTTTAGGAGAAATGTACACTAAACTTGTTAGAGGGCGGGATCACGCCCACTTAACAAAAAATTTGCGCGCAAGTGCTTTTTATTACTATTGTGTCTTAATTTATTGCTTAATTATATCATCATATATGTTTTCGGTTAATAATGATTTGTGGGCGTGGTGATGGTCCGATTACGCCCATCTACGAACGAAATTTCTTTTGTACTAAGGAACCCGCGTACCAACTTTCATCAATATATCTCAATTTTTACTCAATTTACAGTTTGCACGGACGGAGAGGCAGACAGACAGCTAACCTTCCATTTCAACTTTTCTCGCCATTATGATCATTTATATATACAACTATGGACAGACACTTGGCGCACTTGCATTCATAATTAAAAATATTACCGTTACTTTTACGATTCATGAATTTGTTATTAGTAGATCAATAATGCGTCTGTCGCCTCTTTAAATGCGTGGAGAATACCCGTTATCATTTCCCCTCAGATACCGTTAATTTGTTGTTGTTAAATTTCGTCATAAATTCGTTGGACAATGATTTAGCGCACTCATAGTTTTCGGTCATTAGTTGTGTTTGGTCCAACAAAGAATTAATCTCATTTGTGAACTTGTATTCAATAGTTTTAGTAATATTACAAATTTTAATAAAAGGACTAGAGGGAAATACTGTTCGATTGAAAAAAGAAAAATTATTTGGAACCTTTACAAAAACGGTACAAATCAAGTAAAACTTGCTCAAATAGTAAAATGTTAAAGAAAAATCGTGTACAATGCCATCAGAAATGTTAAGAGTCATCCAAATTTGTTAAAACAAAACAAAGTTCGCAAGGCTCCCCTCGCAACAAAACTGATCTTTTAAAGTGCGCTAAATACTTGTCCAAGCCAATTTTGACTTAAAAATCTAAACTGAACAAAATGTTGTATTTTCATTATAGAAAACTAAGAAATTTTGGACAACTTAAGTTCTAGTGAAGTAATAAATAGAAAGAAACTGAGAAAGTATTATATAAAGTGATTTATAGCCCATCAAATTAAATTAAAAAGCTTTCAATCTGAAGACACAAAGTGTGATGGGAATATGTTCCAATACTGAACTCCAAGCAGGGTTATAATATTAAGTTGGCCACTAAATTTGTAGTACCACGAAGGAAACGTCAGAGAGCCAATAAAATATAAACACAAATGAATAGCGCTACGAGCTTAAACAATATAGCAAACTAGTTTTTGAGATACCGAGATGTTGACACCAAGCTCATGTATATAAACCTTTTTTAATTGACAAGACATCTTCACGAAATTTGGATTTCTACGCAAGACATCGCTAAAGTTTTCGCTCAAATTCTTCATATCGGACAACTATATCATATAACTACCATTCAAACTGAGCTATAAGAGTCTAGTTGTTGTATGAAATGTTTTTTATTTGTGAATGAATTTAGTTTCAATGCACCGTTTTGGCATAAATACTATACCTTAATACATTGTCGGACGAATAATAAAATAATTAAAGTATGACTATTTTCAAATTGGCTTATAATAGTTTCCATTTTGATAAATTGTTACTAGAAATCGGTTTAACGAGATTGTGTGATAATAATTTTCCCGAAACCATACGACAAAATAATTGCAAGCAATTATGTCACATCACACACCATACATCGACTTATGTAGAATTGTATGTAGGTGGCATAAAATATTTTACAGAGTATTTTGCTTTTTAGAACCTTTTTATTAGCTTAACCAGTATGTAAGTATGCAACCTCTTCCAGTCCATCTGTGATTTGAGTAAAAAATTAGATATCTTGTTGAAATTGAATACACATGTTCTTTGGCTTCCAAAAAGATCGGAAAAGCAGATTGTTGTAATCGGACTGCTACCACGCCCACAAAACCCCATTTAACGAAAACTTGTAAAGTGCCACAACTAAGCATAAAGATATAAGCTTGCCCTCGATCATTGTCATTTTAAATATCTGTCCAAAGAGAAATTTCCTCCAAATGCAATTTAACTTCAGCTTTAACATAACTTATTTCCTCCTTTGTTTCATCCACAGATTCTTAAAAAAATCGAAACTTTATTGGTCTATAATATCAGAGCGATAACGTTATGGGGTTCTCTCATATATTTTACCCCTTTAAAAAGTTATTCTAAGGGAAAGCACGAGCTAAAAACCACTTTGGAGTCTGTGTCTGTCACGTCTTCGGAATCTTACATACATATATTTAGTCTGCTGTTATCCGACACAACGACACTAACAAATTATTTTCAAGGAATACCGTTCATTATCGTTAAAAGAACAG